GACGCGCTCCAGTCGCTCGACATGCAACTGTGGATGTACTTGCCGTGGAGTCCGGTCGACGTTTGCATTGGCCGCGCTACCGCTGGTTTTCCGATGCCGTCGACAGCATCGATTGAGTTCTACCCCGAACAACGCGACAAAATGCGGTTTGATGTCGTCCAACCGTACGGTTCCATGACGGTGGTTGCCACGTCGGTGGCGGCCCACGGCGCACCGAGTTCATCCGAATTTCCCTACTCGACGTGCGGCTCCAAAGCGCTTCGGCGACGCCTCGCACGAAGCTTTCTCTGGCTTGCGCAATCTCTGCGCTCTCTTGGGCGCCGGTGGTTGTGGCTGTGGCCGACACCGATGCAGGGCCGTGTCGTCGCCGTCGGGTCGGCCAAACACCGGGGCACCGCCGACATGTCGGACGCCGCGGCGCAGCTCGTACTGCACTGGAACGACCTCCAACTCATTCTGGAGCGCATGACGTCGAAAGAAAAGCTCATTGGCTCATACGAAAAGCAGTTTGCGATCGACGAGTGCAAGCACGTAGCCGAGTTGCTCCTCGGATCCGGCGCGGGCTCGTTTGATGCGCTGCAGCCCCACTTGCTAGCGTCGCTGACCGACCCAGCGCACCACGCCATCTGGCACCGCACGTCGTATGCAATTCGGCGAGCCGTCGAGCTGCACATGCCCCTCGGTCTCACGTTTCTCAAGACCCACCTCCACGCCCACGTTTCGGCAACGTCGAGTGCACGACAGGTACCGTTGCTCGAAGTGTGCAATGGTATTCCTGGCCTCGATGACGTGGCACCGCGACCGGTCGCGCCGACGATGCCAACCACCGTCATGCGCACGGCCGGTCGGTTTCTCTTGCACGGTGTGTTGCGGGCCGCCGTGACCCCGACGACCGAGAGCGGTGCATCGATTCGTCGGCGTCACCTTCCCGGGCGTGACCGCATTCTTCCCATTCAGTCCATCTTTGCCCAGCCCGAGGCGCTCGCACACGCAGCACCAGGGTATACCGTCCTTGTCCCATTGTAAAAGTGTCATTTTCTTGGCTAGGTTCGAGCGCCAGCGCGCCGTGGCCCCCGCGACGCTCAACCATTTCCTACTGCAACCCATCGAGCGCTTGCAAGCGCTGCTCGTCGTGTCCAAGATTGCCGATGCCTGCTTCGGCCATGCCCGTCTGGCCCGGGTATCGATCCCCGAGCCCGCCGCAGTGTCGCGCGATCTACGGCAGTCGACGGCTCGGCTCGCGACGATCTTGCACCGGGCGTGGCGCCAATCCCTCGCGTCGGCACCGGCACCGGGCTCGTCACCGTCGCTCGCACTCGTGCCGCCCGCCGCGACACCCCATGCACGCAGCAGCACGTCGACGCTGCTCAAGCACATGGCGACGCTCAAGCGCGGCCAGATTCTGGCACCCTCGGGCACAACACTGCATGAAATTGAAGCCAAGCGCAAATTAACTCTGGCTCTCTACCGGGACATCGACCCGTTCGACGCCCACTCCAAGCTCAAGGCGCTCAACGCCCGGGCCAGAAAGATGGCATGGTTCCTCTACCGGGGTGGATGGGTATAGTAGCATCCCCTTCGTATCGACGAGCGCCTCAACACGACGTGTCTAGGTGGCCGACGCCGTGCATTGGATGGCCTGGACGATCTTGACCGTCACGGTATGGCGTCTCGTGGCGACGCGGCATGCCATTCGAGAGGCGTCACGGACGTACCGGGGGCTGCTCGCGCAGTCGTCGGGGTTGTTGCAGCGCCGGGGCGCAGTCGGAAAGACTCACCGGCGGAAGCGCACCGTCGATGCGGTCGATGTGACGTCGCTGTCCGACGACGACCCGTCCGACTTGGCGGTGCTCCGCTCCGAGAAGGAGTTGCGCTACTTTCTCGTCGTCTCGGAGCTCCAAGGCCTTTTCTTGGACCTCCTTTTCATCTGGTTTGAAACGCCGCGCTTCTTGTCGTGCTTCTAAAGTGCTTTGTAGGCCGACGGAGAATGGTAAAATCGGCCTCGGGAATTTCTGGTCGAGCTTGACGTACACCGCGATGGCTCTCGGGCTGCCACTTCTCTTTTACTACGTGTTGACGCCGTGGGTCGGCGACGCGTCTTTACTGTCTCTCTTGGCGTGTTGGCTCGGCGTTGGCTGGGTTCTTCTCACGCTCTTGTCGATTGTGTCGGTGACGACGACCATCCAAGGCTTCAATGACACCCGGCGCGTCGACGCGATCAACCTCACGGACTTTCCCGCGTGCCTCAAAAACTACCTCGCGATCGTCAATATTCTCTGGGATCTTGTCCAGCTAAATACGATCCCGTGGCAAGTCTGGTACGCGCCACAATCGAATGCTCTGGCGCGCGTAGCGTCGTTTTCGTAGGGACGCGTCGTACGTGGTCCATCAAATTGCGGCGCTTGTGACCATTGACATCAACTTGAGCGGCTACTTTGTCGCACAGTTTGAGTTCAACGCTTTCCTTGTACGGGAATGATACTCGAATGGATGGACATTATTGTCATTTTAGGTCAAACAGCGCTTTGCCGTGGCCTGCCTCGTGCTGTGGTTTTTTAGCCTCAAAGCCGCCAACAAGTTCAAGGGCATGAACTGGCTCAACTATGTCGTCACGTTCTTGCTCCCAAGTGCACTCAGCAGCGTCCTCTTCATGGTACGTTGCTACACGGTTGCAACAACTTAAGCGATTCCTCTAGTTTCTCGTCGAGCAGTATATTTACGCCATGGCATGCTACAAACTGTCGACCCCCGACACCACGACGTACGTGCTCTGGTCCAACCCCGCCATCGTATGCTGGACACCGACCCACGTACGACCTATCTATCTCTATCTATCTATCTATCTATCTATCTATCTATCTATCTATCTATCTATCTATCTATCTATCTATCTATCTATCTATCTTGTCCATGATGGGTACTTACTTTTCAGTTTGACTAGTGGCAGTATGCGATGGTCGGGATGTGTGGCATGGGTCTCTTCATCCCGCTTGCGATCCTCTCACACGGCAGCCACCAACTGGCGTTTCCGCAGCTCGACTTGGACATTCAAACGTCGCCGCTCTTTGCAATGATCGGTCAGCTCGTCAAGGGCCTCATGATCGGCGCCAAGACCTTTTTTGCGACTAACGTGGTACGTCTCGAGCGTTCATGCGTCGTCGTCATCGCACCGTAGCGGTTTTACCTCGGTGTTTCGATCCTTGGCGACGTCGTCTTGCTCGTGTCCCATTACCGCTTCCGCCGCGCGTGCTCGACCTGGTGCTGCTTGGACGAGTAGACAAGAATGACTCAGTTCACAAATAGGCACGTTCGCGCCGCCAAGCTCGTCGTGTACACGGTGAGTCTCTGGAGTGCGGTGTGCGCGATGCTCTCGACTTACGTCGACCGCGACACGGTGCCGCTCTTCATCATGTACGCGGGTCACGCCGCGATACTCGTCCTGCTGCTCTGCGTCGTGCGCTATCGCGTTCATTGGCTCTACGATACGCCATCGTCTGGCAAACTAAAGACAAGGGCGGGCTAGTGTCGACGATAATTTACCACCACTTTGCATCTCTACAGCATGTACTGACTGTCGCTGAGTGCAGAAACGTGAGATATATGCTCATGGGGATAAACGAACGTCGTCTCTGGTGTTGGTTCGTGCTCGCCTGTGCGTTGGTCTCCTTCATGTGCGTTCTTTTCTGTATCGGCTACGTGCACCACGTCTGTTCAGTTGATCATTGTGTGGAATTTTTGAAGGAATTTTGTGGAGGTTCGGAGGCTAATACCGATTAATCCCTTCGCCCACGAGCTTTGCGGCTTGGTACAATACATATGTAGTGAGTGGCACACGGTAGCCTGCATGTGGATTCGACGCTAGATCCTTGCCGCGCCATTTCGAGCCCTGCCATAGTCATAGTCGAGTTCACGACATGGTGACATTGAGGCATCTTTACAAGGGACATGGAGTACTCGCCGCATCGAAAAACGATCAGCACCTCTCGGACTCGATGAGCACGCAAGGCAAGTGCCTCAGACGCGAGACCGGCGCTGGACATCCCGATTCGTCCCCGTACTCCTCATTATGGCGACCACCAAAGTTGCCGAGACACCGATCGCGACGGAGGCTCTACCAATGCAAAGTGACATCGCTGAGCATCGGGACCATATGTACAGAATGCCGATCTGTGTTGCTCGAACGATGATGATACATGCCTAGTGCTATAACCCGCGGAACCTTAGGTTTGTTTGAGCCACCCGCGGTTGGCGACGCAAATGGCCTCGAGCTGCGCCATGACCTTGATCGTCGTCGCGTCGCTCTTATCAATCCGCCGGCCAACGTCGACGCGGACGAGCGAGTGGAGCCCCAGCAGCGCCAACGGTAGCACTGTCAGATTCGAGTCGTCGAAGAGGAACGACACGAGCGCTGGCAGCTGCGCGATCGAGTCGGGTACGGGCGAGCTGATGGCGTTCCCGCCCAAGTTGAGGATCTCGAGGGCCGTGAGTTGCCCGATGCAGGCGGGAAGCTCCACAAGTCGATTTTTCCGCAAGTTGAGCATGCGCATGCTCGTGTTGCCCGTGCAGAGCGACTCTGGGATCTGGCGCAGCAAGTTCGTGTTGACATCGACTTCGGTCAAGCTCGGGAGGTTCGAGAGGTCCGGGAGCTCCTTCAATTGGTTGCGGTACAGCTGCACCTAAACCGCGGCGTGCGTTCATGTACGTCGTAATTGGATTCGTACTTGAGTCAACTCCTTGCAGTGATTGAGGTCCGGGAACGTTCGAAGGCGGTTAAAGTAGGCGGCGCAGCGTTTGAGTCGCACGAGGTTTGGTATCGCTCCGAGTTGCGTCAGTGCATTGCCCTACAGATGACGACGACTTGTTCGTTGCGGTAAACATGAATCCGAGGCGTACAGCGATGTTGAGCTCGACGAGGTTGGCGAGCTTGAAGAAGCCGGGCCCGAGCTCGGTGAGCTTGTTGTTGTAAAAGTTGATCTCCTCGAGCGCGATGCAGCCATCGATCGAGTCGGGTAGCGTTGTAATGCCGTTCTTAAAGGCGATGATTTGTGTCAGTGCCTTCAAGTTACCAATGGTCTTGGGGAGTGCAACGAGGTCGTTCTCTGACACGATGAGCGACGATAAATTCGGGAGCTGGCAGAGCGCATCGGGTAGCTCCGAGAGGTGGTTTTGTGAAAGGTCGAGCTTGGTGAGGGCCTCGAGGTTGGCGATCGCCGGGTCGAGGACGTGAATATCGTTGGCGCTCACGTTGAGCTCCTTGAGGTGGCAAAGCACGAAGATTTCCGGCGGAACCTGCTTGAGCACTGCGAGTTTGTGCGTGGTGAGCGTGCCCGTAAAGTCCGATCCCGACGCATGCGAGAGCTCGAGTGCATCGTCTTTGAACATGGAGATGTACAGCTTGAGGTCCTTGATGGGCTTGGGCGGCTTGGGCAGCGCGTTGCCGCCAGCCTTGGGCTCGATCGTCGACGCTGCCGCAGCTTGCTTGGGCGCTGCCGCTTCCTTGGACGTGCCGCCGCCCATGTCGCGCTCGTTGTTCCTGCTACGACGCAAAACGCTTGGCTTGTATTTTAAGACACCGGTTTTTGCCCGTTGTCGATTCCGTCAAATGAAACACCAAACCTTCCGTCGTTCAACGTGCATTCATTTCCAATGGTGGCGCCGACTGCCCCACACAGCACTCTCGCGATCCCTCGTCGTAGCATGCGAGCAAACATATGCATCCATGAACCAAGCGTCGTCGTCTAAAGCCTGGAGCGTCCTGGCATTCTACCCGGTACAATTCCGCAACCCGTACAGGAAGGAGCCTGACCTGGTTCGAGTTTTGAGTGCCCGGCGTAGCGATGTGCAAACAGAAAGCAAAGACATATTTGTATAGGTGCAGTTGTGGGTAGTGATGTCCTGCGCCACGGAAAAGCTTTGAGGACCTCGCCGCGTTAGCATTCGTCCTGCCGCGTACTAGTAGCATCAAAGGCGGGCGCGCCAAAAACATTCCGTTGATGTTGCCAGAGCCCTAGAGTTCCCGCAGCTTATCTAGTGGGGCGACGCAACCCAAGCGCCACCACGGTTTGACGGTGTGGAAATAGTGGAACGACGTCAAAGAGCCCGCGGAAGATCAAGGAGCTCGACGAGAGGCCTTCGATTCGACACGAAGCCCATCACGCTGCCCGCAACCTCGTGGTCTTCCAATCAGCGGGCGCAACGTGTTGATTTGTTTTCATTTTGACCAATCCCACGGCGCCATGCCTCGCAACAAGGTTGACAGCATCTCGCATGCCCCGGGGCATGCTCCGCAGAGGGCGCTCGGCGGCGTTGCAACCACGCGCCGCCTGTCGTTGCGCAACGCTGCTGCTGCCTGTCGCGCTCACTGTCGCGACACCCTCGGACGTGCGAAATGCGATCGAGAGTAGCACCCGCCTGGATGCGGATCCGAAATTGGCTGGTTCTGGCCGCGCCGAGCTACTTCGTGGACCAGCCACACCACACTGGCACCACACACGGGAATACTGTTGAAATATGACATCGCACGCACGGGCAAGAGCTAATGGCAACGCTGCGGCGTGAAGTGGATGACGTGTCGCGTGGTGTCCAGCCGCTGGCGCGGCGACGTGGTCGGAGGCTCGTTGCTCATTGGCGAACTTGGCTGTCGCTTCCGTCCCGACGCTTGACGACCATCGAAGGTCCATCGCGTCAAGTCCAGTGCGCCACTGGAGCGACCGGGGCACGACTCGCGATCTAGAAGGGCGATCTTCGCACACGTGCGCTTTGATTGGTCGATTTCAAATCTGATTCTGAGCACAGAGTGTCGGCGAATTTTCGAACCGTCGCGGACCAATCCGTGGGCGTTGGTCGGGCTGCCGCCTGTCTTTTTGTATTTCGCAGGTTTCCATACAAATCACAAGCTTGCATAAAATATACCATTAAAATTTCCGCACGGCTGCGACTTTGCCGTTGGCAGACTCGCCGTCGTCGGGCATGGATTGGGGCACACTCTACCACGACACGGGCGACAGCCTCGTCCAGTCGCAGCGCTCCAGCCTCGCACTCTTACCGATGGCTTCGACGACGACGCGCAGCTGGGCCTCGATGGACGAGAACGCCCACGACGTGGCCGAGACCCGCTCGTCGCGCGCCGCGCACCAGCTCATCTCGTTCTCGCTTTCGCGGTCCATGAGCTTCCAAGTGCTCGAGTACGACGTCGCGAGCGCGTACTCGCCGCTCGTCGCGTACTCGTTCACGGTCAACTACATCCTCGGCGTCGGCAGCCTTGGCGTACCCTACGCCTTGTACCACGCAGGTCTCCTCTTCGGCTCGATCATGCTCGTCGTCGTCTCGTGGCTTTCGTACATCACCGTTATGTGGGTGAGCGAGACCACGGTCCGAGCGCGCGAGCTCGACGCGATGAACACGCACACCAAGCTGCTCGCCGACCCGATGCACTTTCCCGAAGTCACGACGCTCTGCGAGCGCTTTCTGGGCCATTTTGGCGCGCGCGTCTACCAGATCTCGCTCCTCGGTTTGATGTACGGCGGCCTCATTGGCTACGCACAAGTATTTGTCAACAGCATTGCGTCGCAGCTCGCGTCCTTGGCCATCAGCAACGTGGCGGTCGCGATTTTTTTTGGCCTCATTGTCGTCCCGCTCTCGTGCGTCGGTACAACTCCTTCACGACGTATGGGCAGACGTTCCAACGATGCGTAGATCTCAACGAGCAGATTCACATCCAAGTGGGCATGGCCGTGCTGCGCTTTGTTGCCCTGCTGACCATGATTGTCAGCGCTGCCGTGGCCATGTGGACGGACGCCGCCGACAGCGGTACATCTTGCATCTTGTCGCGCCACGTCATAACCATGCCGCGTTTGTAGGCAGCGCCACAACGACGACGACGCCGTATCTCAGCGACGTGCCGCTTGTGAACTTTGGCGGGTTTGGGCTCCTGTTTAGCACGACCGTCTTTTCCCAGGTAATATTGCGAGCGACTCGCGGATGGTATCTCATGGTATCCTTCTTGGATGGTAGTTGTTTCAACACTCGGTGCCCGGACTCCTTGCGCCCCTCTCGCGCGCCAACCAGCCAAAAGCCGCGCAGATCTTTGGCGGCGCGCTCTTGACGACGACGCTCTTCTACCTCGGTCTTGGGCTCACGTGCTGCTACTACTTTGGCGACCGCATTAGCTCAAGCGTCAACCTCAATTGGGCCAACTTTACGTGGGGTCTGGACCCAGTGCCGGTCTGGGCGCGCTGCCTCACGGCACTCGTCGTTTTGTTTCCGGCTCTTGATACGCTCAGCGTGTTTCCGTTGATTGCGATCACACTCGGTGACAACCTCGCGGTCTCGCTGCGGCAGTGCTGCACGTTTTTAAGCCGGAGCCAAGTGCGCATCTTTTGCCGCCTCGTCGCGGCGCTCCCGCCCCTCGTCATTGCCGTGCTCGTCTCAGATCTGAGCGTGACGCTGCAGATCTCGGGCGTCTTTGGCGTCTACGTGGCCTTCCTTGCACCAGCGCTGTTGCAATTCGTGGCACGCCGCGAGGACCCACGCGACAACATGTACTCGGGTCGTTTTAGCGGCGACCCCTATATCTATTTGGTGCTGCTCTTTGGCGTCGTGGCCTTTGGTATCCTTAGCTTCCAGATCGGCACGCAAGGGGTCTAACCACCTGCTGTATTGTCTGCCTCATCCTCTCGGCCCTACGACAACGACTTGAGTGCTCGAACGTCGTACGGTCGCACATTTTCTCGAAGCCCAGTGTTTATCTAAACGAGTCAAGCAGCGATGCATTTTTAACATTCGACTATACCATGAGTATCAATAACCACGAGCACAACACAATCGGTAACGCTATTGCCATCAAGTGAGATGGTCGACCTCATGACTCATTTTTGGGTCGCTGTTGGTGAAACCTGTGCCAAAGTTCGTTGATTGTATGCATATTCGTGCCAACGGCCGGTATCCAACTTTGTCAGGCACAGGACTCGCCACATCGAGGACTCGCTAATGCCTACTAGTAGTGGCCAGCATCAAATGTCTTTTTGTCTGACCCAATGATGTGATTCCACTTGGGCGTCTTCTGTAGGAGGTGATTGTGGCATTCACAATGCGGGCTTTCCTGTGGCGCTCGAGTAGCATCTGTTTGCGCTTCACCTAGTGGAGCCGCCGAGTACTAGTAGCTCTTAAATAGTGCTGGACGGTACGGACGGAGGCGTTGAGTTGCAGCTATGCCTTGAGCATGCTCGCCGATTTGCCGCTTGTTGAGGCAGCCTTGCAAAGGCAGCATAGGTTGTGCATAGTCATTTTCGGGCAGCTGTGCTTTCGAGGTCGATAGAGCGGATCCTCGGCGTCACCTCGGTTTCAGTTTTTTGGCGCCAAACCTCATCTGTCAAGCCCTTTCATCTCAATTATCCGAGGGCTAGGATCTGACTTGGATGGTCAATAATGTCAACATGCAAAACGGTACATGCCGTGCTCGCCATGATCATGTTGGTAATTCTGTTATTTATGGTTCTATGTGGTGTTTGCCACAAATAACATGTTGGTCGCTGTACGCCGCTGCAGACCGCCAATGCCGACGAGACATAGCGTTTCGAGCTCTCCAAAGCATTCTATATCGATGTGCCAGCTACGAAAGCTTTCATTATGAGACGCGATTTGGCCTCTCTTGTCGGCTGAAACTTGAGAGCTGTGCCGTCGATGGCGTTTCATCGCCCGTGATAGGCTAATATTTTGAAAAAGAGCAGCCAATGAAATGATATTACCGGCGTGTGATTGACGTTGCCAAGACGCAAGCATGTCCAGGCATTGCGCGGCGAGCTGCTCCGAGACCTCATGCTCCTGATGCGATGTATCACATAGAGGTAGAACACGTCGCTGCATTGAATGCGGGACGGAACCGTGATCACCCACTGGTGATTACCAGCACTCTCATCCGCCATCGCTTCCTTAATAGAGGCTGGCCAGCAGTTGAGACGGTCGATGGCGAGCTGCAGTGTCATCGTCGCCAAGCATGGCGAGGACATTATGACTATATCGTCATCATGGTGTACACAATTCATTTCTACATTTATATCGATAGGGTGCTAATCGTGTGCTTAGCGCAGGCGCTTGGGCACGCACTGCGAGTACCACTCGTCCTGCGTGACGCAGATGCTGCCGCCAACGCACTCGGTGCTGCCCGTGTAGTCCTTGCCTCCGCACTGCTCCCACGCCTTCTTGCCACCACCCGCAATGGGCTTGGCCGTCGGCTTGGTCGAGGGCTTGGCCGTTGGCTTCACAGTCGTGTGCACCGGCGTCTTGGACGTGGGCTTGGGCGACGGCTTGTGGCTCGGCTTGGGGGCCATCGTCGGCGCCTTCGTGGGCTTGTCCGTGACCGGGGCCTTCGTAGGCTTCTCCGAGCTCGGCGCCGGCGTCGGATGCTGGCTGCTCGGCGACGGCTTCGGGTCCGACCCGCACGTGTCGCTGATGTAAATGTCAGCGCAGTTCCAGAACTGCTCCTGGCCGTTGATGTCGACGCCCGGGTTGTTCCAGCCGACATACCACCAGCGAAGCACGCAGTGCGAGTCGCCGTCGCACTTGACGTCCGCCGGCAGCTTGTACTGCATCTTGAAAAAGTCGGCGCCGGCCGGGAGCTGCCACTGCTTCTCGCCGTTGGGCTGCGAGAGCGTCTGGAAGCACTCTTCGGTCTCCTTGTCGTCCTTGCCGTTGAGCTTGCAGAGACCAAACTCAAAGTAACCCTTGTGGTTGGCCGTGATCTGGATGTTGAGGTCCATGGTGGCGCCGGGTGCAAAGCAGGCGCCAATGGCCTTGGACCCGAGCGTCGGGAAGAGACCGTAGGTACCGCCGGTTTCGTGGTGGCGCGCGCCGTTGTACGGGTCGCCGCACACGCCGTGCTTGCCGCCGGACGTGGCACCGATGCCGCCGGCGCTCAAGCCATTGTCGCTGTAGTTGATGGGGATGTCCTTGAAGTTGGGGAGTTTGCCAATGTAGCCGCGGTGGGGCGGGAACACCATGCGGCCGTGAGCATCGACGTTGGATACAGCAGTCGCGAGGAGGAGCGTCGATGCAAGAAGCTTCATCTTGGTGTGTGGATCCAAAGGCAAATTGAAAAGTGATCTTGGTTCGACATCCCGTGAGGTGTTTATGGCGCCAAAGGTACAGTCTTCAAGCGACGATGTAACGTCGTTCGATCATGGACCGTATGGTGCAGAGTAGGATTATGACTTGCGAGGACAGAACGCCAGACTGTTTCCACGCACCAACAGGAATCCGCTCCCTGCGCCGAGACAGCTCGCCGAGACACATCTTCTCGCTTCTCTTGCTCACGTGGCGCAGAGATAGGCTCGGACTGATGCTGCCTGGTTGACAGAGCACGGTGTCAGTTCTTTACGCTCCTGCCTGTACAGAGTACAAGCCACGATTGCGCTTTGGCAATCTTGGGTGGGTCACTGCCCCGTCGTCGTGCGTGGCAGCATTGCCGAAGCGCAGGTTGCCACGGCAAGTGCCACATTGCACCACACATCCCACCATTTCCCACCTCTTACGACACATTTACCACGTTGTATGTACATGCCACACCGTTTCCCACATGCTTTTCCACGTCAAGGAGCCAACTCAGGACGCAGCTCCGAAAGGCACAACATGGACAATATGTAGTTGTCGTGCTAGCATCGATTTACTAATGAGGTAGACATGACAAGTGTGCACACGTCGTCGGTACAATCCACGCGTGAACGCACCTTGTTGTCGCCCTCCACGCGTTGTGCTTGTCGCCGCTGTTCTGGTTGACGCCATGGAGTCTGTCAAAGATCGGTCGGCGGATCGGTCGGGTTCCTCGAAAGAATCTGTCGTGTCTGCAATCTCAACACTGTGCCGGGTGCGATCTGCGTTATGTCACCTTGCCTTGGTACGTAATGGTGACTCACAGACCATCTGTGTTCGATGCCGAAGTAGCGCAGCTCTTCTCGGCCACTTGGATCTTAACTACACTGACCTAGACCCAGTGACCTAGACCTGCCTTTAGCAATTCCATTTCCACATTTGCCTCGAACAACCAAAATGATGCACAACATTGGCGCTGTCTTTCTTCTCTTGGCGTCGATGGTCGACGCCAAGGGCCTCGACACCGTCCTCTCCAAGGCCACGTTCCAGAAGCTCTTTCCGAACGCGCTGCCGATCTACCAGTACGAAAACATGATTGCCATGTCCCAAAAGTACCCGGCCTTTGCCAACACGGGCAACGACGATGTCGACAAGCGCGAGGTCGCGGCGTTCCTCGGCCAGATCTCGCTCGAGTCGGGCGACCTCCAGTACGTCGAAGAGATCAACAAGAACGAGTACTGCCAAGCCAGCGACAAGTATCCGTGCGCGCCCGGGAAGCAGTACTTTGGTCGTGGTCCGATCCAGCTCTCGTGGAACTACAACTACAAGGACTTTGGCGACGCGTTCGGAAAGGACTTTGTGACCAACCCCGATCTGATCGCCAAGGACAAGGACCTCGTTTGGCTCAGCGCGTTCTGGTTCTGGAACGCCGACAAGTGGAACGGCAACATCCACGACGTGGTCGGCCAGCCCGGTGGCTTTGCGTACACGACGTACATCATCAACGGCGGCCTCGAGTGCGGCGAGAACCCGCCCAACAAGCAGTCGGAGATCACGCGCATTGCGAGCTACAATAAGTTCTGCGACCTCCTCGGCGTCTCGCCCGGCGACAACCTCTCGTGCCAGACGAGCGCGTACCCACCGACGACGCCGTGGCCCAAGACCAAGTCGCCGTCGCCGACGTCCGCCCCGAAACCCACGTCGTCGCCGACGGTTGCACCCACGGACGCTCCCACGGACGCTCCTACCGCGGCCCCGACAGACGCGCCCACGGGTGCTCCCACAGACGCACCTTCGGATGAGCCCTCGGACGAGCCCACCGACGCCCCGATGAGCCCAGCGATGAGCCCAGCGACGAGCCCAGCGACGAGCCCAGCGACGAGCCCAGCGACGAGCCGACGAACAAGCCGACGCCGACGTCCAAACCGTCGGGTGTTGTCAAGAAGCGCTGGGAACAGTGCGGTGGCAAAGACTGCGCGCCGACGTCGCAGCCGTCCTCGGGCCAAAAGGCCAAGTGGGAGCAGTGCGGCGGAAAGGACTACACTGGAAGCAAGGACTGCGTCCAGGGCACGGTGTGCCACAAGTTTGACGCGTGGTATTCGCAGTGCCTCCCGACGCAGCGCAGCGGCTGGTAGAGCGTTCTTGTTCGACTACGTCTCTATGTGTGCTCTAACACGACTATCTATTGACTTTTTACCATCTCGATATCTCGATACCGTCACGAGTCGCATCGACAGTTTACAGTGTCTTGCCTACTAGTAGTCTTCAGCTACGTTTCTTCAAGGGTGGACGACACCATTGATTTCTTACTTGATGTACGAGACATTGGGCAGACTCCATCGATAATGCGTCTGCCATGAACCCTATGAACAGTATGTGCTTGTGGGTGACGAAAGGGGTGTTCCATCAGCCAGTGGTGTTCGAAGCTCGCTCGAGGATGACAACTTGTCCTTCAAGAGTGCATGCACGGTTCTCTTGACTTCTCTCAAACATGTTTGATCTATTCGTCATTGTGTCGCACAGAACAAAGATAAGGTTCGACGAAAGGCGAACGCATGCAGCTGAAAGTATACTTTTATCAGCCAGTTTCTACGATACGAGCGAGTTATGACGGTAGCGACAAGAATGTAGTATCAAAGCAAAAATCACAGCTCGATTAGCTTAATTGTGGCGGCGCTTGGTCGGGACACACTGCGAGTACCACGAGTCGTACTTGTGGCACGCCGTGCCTTCGACACACGCCTTGCTACCAGTGTAGTCCTTGCCGTCGCACTGCTCCCACGCCTTCTTGGCCCCCGACGGCGCAACCGAAGGCTCATCGCTAGGTTCATCGGAAGGTTCATCGCTGGGTTCGACGCTGGGTTCGTCACTCGGCTCGTCGCTGGGCTCGTCGCTGGGTTCGTCCGAAGGCTCGTCGCTGGGTTCGTCACTAGGCTCGTCCGAAGGCTCCTCCCACGGCTCATCCGTAGGACTCTCCGTGGGCTCATCCGTCGGCGCCGACGTAGGTGTGGCAGAGCTCGGCGCCGGCGTCGGGTTCTGGCTGCTCGGCGACGGCTTCGGGTCCGACCCGCACGTGTCGCTGATGTAAATGTCGGCGCAGTTCCAGAACTGCTCCTGGCCGTTGATGCCGACGCCCGGGTTGTTGCCACCGACGTACCACCATCGAAGCACGCAGTGCGAGTCGCCGTCGCACTTGACGTCCGCCGGCAGCTTGTACTGCATCTTGAAAAAGTCGTTGCCTGCCGGGAGCTGCCACTGCTTCTCTCCGTTGGGCTGCGTCAGCGTCTGGAAGCACTCTTCGGTCTCCTTGTCGCCCTTGGCGTTGAGCTTGCAGAGACCAAACTCAAAGTAGCCCTTGTGGTTGGCCGTGATCTGGATGTTGAGGTCAACCGTGGCACCGGGCGCGAAGCAGGCGCCGATGACCTTGGACCCGTGGGTCGGGAAGAGACCGTACATGCCGCCCGTCTCGTGGTCGCGCGCGCCACTGTACGGGTCGCCGCACACGCCGTGCTTGCCGCCGGCCGTGCCACCGATGCCGCCGGCGTTGAGGCCGTGGTCCGAGTAGTCGGCGGGGACGAGGTCCTTGAACTGGGGCAGCTTGCCAATGTAGCCGCGGTGGGGCGGGAACACCATGCGGCCGTGGGCGTCGACGTTGGAGACGGCGGCGGCGAGGAGGAGCGTCGAGGCAAGAAGCTTCATGTCGACAATGTGAGTGAAATTGAAAAGTCAATATTGTAGCTGCATTGCCGTGGACGTGGTACGAGGACGAGCCGGCTGCATAGAGGTGGGACGCACAGAGATGCTTGGATCCCACTCTGCGCCCGTCGGCGTATGAAATATGATTCGAACGTCCATACGAAGAGGTACACTCTCTTCTCGCCGGCTCTCGGCGTGGGACGAAACACGGGTATGAGCGGCTCGCAGTGCGTGGAAAACATCTGGTTGACCTTGCACAAGGCCTGCCCACAGAACCGCAGACGGTCGACATGGAATACTCTCTTCTGAGCGCATACTACGCACCCGACTGGGAAGCCTCATCGCTGCGCTCATAGCAGTAACAAGGCGCTACCGGTACCTTGCGTTACGCTCGAGTCGCACGCGTCTCTTGCCGACATTGCGGGTGGGATCTGCTCCAATTTGGAGTCGAGTCGCACCGATCAGCTCATCGCCTTGTAGCTTCAGGGCGAAGCGACTACTCATCTGGTAAAGCCTCGTAGTCGCACAGAGTACGTAGCTGGACAAAACGACGACAGGATCACTGGACGATCCAGCCAGCACTTTTAATGTGTTTGTCAGCCCAGTGTCTGGTGGTTGTGATTGGTATGCGGTGCCTCTCGGTGCTGCTGGCATCGCGCCCCATTAGAGCCATCGATACACAGCGTCGCCAATGTCACACGCGTCCGCCACAGAGTAGCATGATGGTGCGTGGGAACGGTAGACACGTTGCAGCCCCTGTTGCAGTCCCTGCACAACACAGTACTCGGTTCATTGATCTGTGGTTTCCACGAACGCACATGACAAGTTGTCTATTGCATCCAAACTCTGGATCACATTTCACACGTGAGACACCAATACGGCAAGTGCACGCCGTATGGTGCACCCATTACCGACCTTGGCCCGTATTACGCCCGAGAGCGCTGCAAAAGCACGTGGCAGCTTGAACGATCGACCCAGTGACTCCTTTCCGAAAACTTCTCACTTTTCAATTTCACTCACATTGTCGACATGAAGCTCATTGTCTCGACGCTCCTCCTCGCCGCCGCCGTCTCCAACGTTGATGCTCACGGCCGCATGGTGTTCCCGCCCCACCGCGGCTACATTGGCAAGCTGCCCCAGTTCAAGGACCTCGTCCCCGCCGACTACTCGGACCACGGCCTCAACGCCGGCGGCATCGGTGGCACGGCCGGCGGCAAGCACGGCGTGTGCGGCGACCCGTACAGCGGCGCGCGGGATCACGAAACCGGTGGCATGTACGGTCTCTTCCCGACCCACGGGTCCAAGGTCATCGGCGCCTGCTTCGCGCCCGGTGCCACGGTTGACCTCAACATCCAGATCACGGCCAACCACAAGGGTTACTTTGAGTTTGGTCTCTGCAAGCTCAACGCCAAGGGCGACAAGGAGACCGAAGAGTGCTTCCAGACGCTGTCGCAGCCCAACGGCGAGAAGCAGTGGCAGCTCCCGGCAGGCAACGACTTTTTCAAGATGCAGTACAAGCTGCCGGCGGACGTCAAGTGCGACGGCGACTCGCACTGCGTGCTTCGCTGGTGGTACGTCGGTGGCAACAACCCGGGCGTCGGCATCAACGGCCAGGAGCAGTTCTGGAACTGCGCTGACATTTACGTCAGCGACACGTGCGGGTCGGACCCGAAGCCGTCGCCGAGCAGCCAGAACCCGTCTCCGGCGCCGAGCTCGGAGAAGCCCACGAAGGCGCCGACAAACGCCCCGACGCCGTCGCCTAGCAACGTGCCCAACCCGACGACCGAAGAGCCGTGCGATCCGACATCGTCCAAGCCGATTCCGACACAGAAGCCCACGGTTCAGCCGACGACCAAGCCCACGGTCCAGCCCACACAGAAGCCCACGCACAAGCCGACGCACAAGCCGACATACAAGCCCAAGCCGTCGTCGCACACGGGTGGCGCCAACAAGCGCTGGGAGCAGTGCGGTGGCAAAGACTTTTCGGGCTCCACGCAGTGTCTCGATGGCGACAAGTGCCACAAGTACGACGCGTGGTACTCGCAGTGCATTCCGGCCAAGCCGCACACCAGCTAAATGTGATGATTTATAAACATTAATACTTTGTACTCTACTCCATTGACTATACTTTATAGGCATGCTAGTCGAGTCATATGGGATTAAAATGAAGGTTAGAGAAACACTTGACGTGGATGTGGGGATTCTCGTTTTGGATTCAAAAGACGTTGTGAGTTGGGGATTCATTAGGGAAAGCACTATATTTTCTTGACGAACTAGGGCCTTTTCAACTCACAGATGAGAGTAAGTTACGGACAATGCGTTGTTTAGCATTGCACTCGAATGTTTGCAGCGTTCATGGCGGCCGTTCGATATGCTGGTCCCATGGCCAAGCCGTGTTGGCCCGTAATCTGTCGCCGGTGTCCTGGTTGGAGACCGGTGCGCGTCGACGAGAAGAATGTTGAGAACTGAGGATTATCCAAGTTTACAGCAAGCTAGATCTAACCTAATGGAGGCAGCACGCCTTGCGGTCGAGGGTAACAGCCTGGAGGCCCACACCGCGAAGAATCCAAAAGTTGCGTGGAACTAGATACCAAAATCGGGACGCGAGCCAAAAGCAGCCTCCGTACCGTCGCGGCCGGCCGACGAGCTGCGCCAAGCAGCTCTGTCATCGAGTAGCCAAGGTGCTGCATGACTAAGCCCGCCAAGATTACCCGCGGCGTCCGCGGCGTGCCGTTCACGACGTATGCCTGCAAGCTCGTCAAGGTGAGCGCCCGTCCGCCGTATCCAAAGCCAGCGTCTTGATGAGGACGACATCCGCGAATATTGTAGAGGCGTCATTGAACGACTGCAGCTCCAATGGCGCTGTGGCGTGCACCTGGCAGACGACGCCAAGCGCGACCAACTGCGAGACCAACGTTGAGTTGACGATGCTGAGATCGGCGCCGCTGTCAAGCAGGGCATGCAACACCGCCAAAGCGCCCTCGACCACACCCGAGGCGTAGCCAGACGGCGAACCTGCCAGCTCAGCTGGCGCGGTGGCCTGGGCTAGCACAGAAGACAAAGCAAAACGCGGCGCGGACGACTGATGACCGAGAAGAGATGGCTGCGGCTCGTCACAAGAGCCCTGCATTTGGCCATCGTCGTGGCCGCCAGCGTCGTAGCTACCGTCATAGCCACCCTCGTTGTCGCAATCATCACGACCGTCCAAGCTGCCAAAACCACCGTGCTGGGCGTCAAGATCCCAGACACGCACGTCGTGTAGCGAGGGATCGAGGTCGCGAAGCGACGCATGGTCGTCCAAAACACGGTTGCCGTCGTCGTGTTGCTCGCAAAAACCATCGTTGGCGTCGTAAGAGCCGTTGTCATCGGCGTCGTAAGAACCGTCGTTGTCGGCGAGAGCATCCGCCGAGTTGATACCATAACGCTGACAATCTTGGTCGTGGACATCGTCCGTGGTGTCGTGGGAGGCGTGAGCTTGAGCGACGTCGTGGCGTTCCCACCGCATGTAGGACGTGATGGCTTCTTTGAGCCAGCGCAAAAAAGCGACCAAATCGTGGCTCAAATGCTCTTGAAATCTTAGTTTCGACTCCCTGAATATCTATTCGTGAGAGGTGCCAACCGAGCCGCTTGACGGGTTAACTAGTCGATCGTCCACACCAAAGACCGCATTTCTTATCAGCGTTCCCAGCGGACATTGCTTTCACATAGAAGTGCTGCGTCATCTCATTCGACGCGTTTCCTCAATCAAGACCCACCTACTAAGGGCAACAACCGTGTTGGTGTCCGCCATGCCAGTGGTGGGCGAGGCGGGTTAGTTATTTGACTGACACTACCAATTTGGAATTGGCTTGAGCTCGTGTGCACCGGTCTCCAACCAGGACACCGGCGACAGATTACGGGCCAACACGGCTTGGCCATGGGACCAGCATATCGAACGGCCGCCATGAACGCTGCAAACATTCGAGTGCAATGCTAAACAACGCATTGTCCGTAACTTACTCTCATCTGTGAGTTGAAAAGGCCCTAGTTCGTCAAGAAAATATAGTGCTTTCCCTAATGAATCCCCAACTCACAACGTCTTTTGAATCCAAAACGAGAATCCCCACATCCACGTCAAGTGTTTCTCTAACCTTCATTTTAATCCCATATGACTCGACTATCATGCCTATAAAGTATAGTAAATGGAGTAGAGTACAAAGTATTAATGTTTATAAATCATCACATTTAGCTGGTGTGCGGCTTGGCCGGAATGCACTGCGAGTACCACGCGTCGTACTTGTGGCACTTGTCGCCATCGAGACACTGCGTGGAGCCCGAAAAGTCTTTGCCACCGCACTGCTCCCAGCGCTTG